GCAATTGGGATCGATGACATGTATCAACCAAATCAGTGAGCCTGACCGCCCGATCCCGATAGTCTCTTACGACAAGCATAGTCACCTTTTACAGCAAGCATGGGTTGCCACCTAAGTCTGATGCTTGTGATATCAATCACTGGATTGTCTTGTCCAGACTCGATTATTCCCAAGCTTGAATGACTTCACAGCTATTATGGGTTCAGCATCAACAAATACTAGCACAGATTTGTTCCAAGAGCTTTTCAACGATATCTCACAACCAATATCTGCTCCCAAGGCATTCAACGGCAAATTGGGACGTATCATAGACCAAGTCAGGCAAGATACAAGGAACTATTCCAAGCATCAGCTATCAGGGCCTAGCTGCCAAGGCACATAGATCTTCCCGTCCCCAGAAGTGTACCTGGGATTAGAAAGACTCATCAGCCTCCTAAGAAGAAGTTTGTCCCCCCCGGTAGGATTCGTTCCAACCGATTTGGGGGTATGACAAGCGTCAGTCTTCTCAGGAATCAAACTGCATCTTGAAATCTCAAGCTGTCGGACGCAGATTTCATCTAGTCGGAGCCTAGCTAGCCGCAGCAGCTCATGCCATCAGGAAGCTACTAAAGAAGCAAGCCATTCGGGGACGAGCTGAGACCAATAAGACCAAGGTTTTATTCTCTGGTATTCCTAGTACCGAAGAAGAATACGACCAACATGAGAATGAGAATCGACCTAAAGACCCTCCACTGGGTCATCGTTCACAACACCGGACAAGTCATCGCATTTTTTATGGGGATGAACTTCCCCTAACATCACAGTTCCTACTCAGAAGTCGGACATACCACAGGTCTGTCAACCATAGGGTTCACAGAGGATTGGCCATGTGTGGAGCTTGAACCTAGTCAACTTGGGATTACAGTTTACTGCACAGGAAGAATCACGTGTCAAGTGTCAAGACTTACTGTAAACATCGTTAACCGTAATCAAGTCAACTGACCTAGTGGGATCTGTGCAAAATAATTTTGTACAGACTGACTTACATGATTGCATATGCATAACACTACAACCACTCAACCAGACGCCTATCACTGTTCATCATGTAGCCGATTCACAACTTCAGTGGACAACCGATGCCTGCATGTGCAGTGAATGAGACACCATGCACCATCATCCCCCGATATAACAAGGGGAGTGCTTACGCGAAGCCCAAGGGATGGAAACCAAGGAATTTTTCTATTTTCAACCTGTCCTATACAATACATTGTTGAATTCTTTCCAAGACTGTTCCTTGATACAGAATAAGTGGGCCTATTATACCAGGGATTTGGCATTGGTTTGCTGACAACACAGTATTTTCACGTTTCGTCATGTCCCAACATGGGCAGAGAATTGACTGAAGTGGATGAGCCGACTCCATCAGTTGTCGGATGGAAGCGAGACATATTCCTGGGAAACTGAACATCCTTGCCGACAGTTTTTCCCGCCAAGGGACAAAAGAGACGACAGAATGGATCTTACATCCCCAGATATTTGCTTTGATAACCACTTTATGGGACACACCACACCTAGATCTATTTGTCTACTAATAGAAGAACCTCACCAGTTACCTCTCCGTCGAGATCTGTTACGACAGCCCAAGTCCAACATATTCCATGACATCCTACCAAGCCTATATCTAAATGCCTGGATGTTAGCATGCAAAATGCAGATATCCGGGTGCTCTGGACTTGCCTCTGAAGCTGTGGCAAGATCATGGAGACCTTTATCCTACCTTATATGTGACAACAGATGGGATAAGTTCTTCCCGTGGAGAAGACAAGGGATTGTAACTAATACAATATCCATCCCTATGGTAGCGGGCTTTTCTAGTACATCTACGTCAGGAAAATAAGAACCGTCATGGGACGATAGAAGGTTACAGATCGGCTCTTCACTCTGTACTTCAACATGATGGATTCTCAATTGGAAACCATCCCACCAATAGTTTCCCCCTTATATCGAAAAAAAGGGGTGGGGGGTGAGGATCCGGCACCAGCAGCATCAGAGGATGAGTACACCCTTGATTATCCTATTAAGTGTAGGATGTATAAAGAATACCTTGCGTATCAACTGCCTACAGTGACCAGAAGTGACATCAGAACCGGAAGAGATAGAACCGAAAGTGACATCATCACCGGAAGTGAGATGATAACCGGAATTGAGATGATAACCGGAAGTGACGTCATCACCGGAAGTGAGATGATAACCGGAAGTGACGTCATCACCGGAAGTGAGATGATAACCGGAAGTGACATCATCACCGGTAATGAGATGATAACTGGAAATGAGATGATAACCGGAAGTGAGATGATAACCTGGAAGTGACATCATCACCGGTAATGAGATGATAACTGGAAATGAGATGATAACCGGAAGTGAAGTCATCACCGGTAATGAGATGATAACTGGAAGTGAGATGATAACCGGAAGTGACGTCATCACCGGTAATGAGATGATAACTGGAAGTGAGATGATAACCGGAAGTGACGTCATCACCGGAAGTGAGATGATAACCGGAAGTGACATCATCACCGGTAATGAGATGATAACTGGAAATGAGATGATAACCGGAAGTGAGATGATAACCTGGAAGTGACATCATCACCGGTAATGAGATGATAACTGGAAATGAGATGATAACCGGAAGTGAAGTCATCACCGGTAATGAGATGATAACTGGAAGTGAGATGATAACCGGAAGTGACGTCATCACCGGTAATGAGATGATAACTGGAAGTGAGATGATAACCGGAAGTGACGTCATCACCGGAAGTGAGATGATAACCGGAAGTGACATCATCACCGGTAATGAGATGATAACTGGAAATGAGATGATAACCGGAAGTGGGATGATAACCTGGAAGTGACATCATCACCGGTAATGAGATGATAACTGGAAATGAGATGATAACCGGAAGTGAAGTCATCACCGGTAATGAGATGATAACTGGAAGTGAGATGATAACCGGAAGTGACGTCATCACCGGTAATGAGATGATAACTGGAAATGAGATGATAACCGGAAGTGAAGTCATCACCGGTAATGAGATGATAACTGGAAGTGAGATGATAACCGGAAGTGACGTCATCACCGGTAATGAGATGATAACTGGAAGTGAGATGATAACCGGAAGTGACGTCATCACCGGAAGTGAGATGATAACCGGAAGTGACATCATCACCGGTAATGAGATGATAACTGGAAATGAGATGATAACCGGAAGTGGGATGATAACCTGGAAGTGACATCATCACCGGTAATGAGATGATAACTGGAAATGAGATGATAACCGGAAGTGAAGTCATCACCGGTAATGAGATGATAACTGGAAGTGAGATGATAACCGGAAGTGACGTCATCACCGGTAATGAGATGATAACCGGAAGTGACGTCATCACCGGTAATGAGATGATAACCGGAAGTGACGTCATCACCGGTAATGAGATGATAACTGGAAATGAGATGATAACTGGAAGTGAGATGATAACCGGAAGTGACGTCATCACCGGTAATAGTGTCACAAATCCAAATTTAAGAAGAAATGACGTCATTGGGGAGAAATAGACTAGAAATGACATCGTTATTTCTACCAAGATCAGCAAATATGACGGTATTTCTAGTGAACGTATCACGTATTTGACTGATTCTTGATGCATTCTGGTTTTCAAGTCCTCAGGAGAATTTCAGAGGAAATTATCTTGAGTCAGGATTAGAATCCGTGAATAAATGGTTTCCAGAAGAGATTACTGTCAATTACACAGGGAGTTACTAGAGGCAGATCCCTCCGGGTCCCTCTAGTATATTCTGGAAAATATGTAATAGAGGGAGAAGTTTCGTAAGAATTATCGAACAATAGTTATCATTGTTAATAATTCTAAGAATACTACCTCTATTACATCCAAAGTACTCCTACCCACCTCCCCAATTCATCAACCTCTAGTGGTTAGATGTGGGAAAAGAAGTGAGATTCCCACCATTACACACATCATAGCTTGGGTTGCTAAATGTGTGATGGACAGTGAAGAGGACGTCTGTTGAAAATCTGAAAAGTTTAGTTAGTGTGACTGAAGCCAAAATACAGGATTCGTGGCAAAGATGTAATAGAGGTTATAATCTTAGAATTATTAACAAACTATTGTTTGATATTGGTACTTATATGTTACAAATCAAGAAAACTAACATAACTCAAGGTTTATAAAAATGTAGGGTTGGACAACTAATTAGTCAATTCACGAAACCCTGTCATGTTAATTTTCAAATCTCAAATCTGGCTGAATAGGTAACCACTAAACTCGTGAAGTTCACCTTTGTTTGTTTGTTTGTTGTTTAACACCGCACTCAGCAATATTCCAGCTATATTGATGGCGGTCTGTTAATAATCGAGTCTGGACAAGAAAATCCAGTGATTGACATCATGAGCATCGATCCACGCAATACGATGACATGCATCAAACCAAGTCAGCAAGCCTGACCACCCGATCCCGTTAGTCGCCTCTTACAGCAAGCATGGGACACATCTTCAAGTACACACAAATCTTCTACCCATGGATCAGCTCTCAGCCGCTAAACGCATAGGCTGCCTAAATGAGTGTCTTCGTGGTAATGAAACCCGGAATCAATCAAGCACAAACAAAGCAGTGACACTGCTACACAGAATATTCAAAGTCCTTTTGTGGGTGCTTCAGTGACTCGGCCCAAGTACACGGAAATCCGGGTTCTGTAGTAGGAATTGAAAATCCACATCCACAAGAGGCCACCATGACACCAATCTACAACTATGCCAAGTTTCATGCTTTTATGCTGGATACAGACATATAGGTATGGACATTTATGATACCAAAATGTTATAACCGCCCTATGTGTTTCTCTGTATAGGTACAAAGCTAGCAACCTTCATGCTGTCAACACGACTCACTATTTCCCTCAAGATGACTTTGCAAATATAAATTGACTAATTTTCTTATTCTTGTTCCAGGCAATTCGTTTACCAAAAGAATACTACCCTATAACAGACTCTTACCCCAAAGAGGTTATTGAAGGAGGTAGACTCAGCAGCCTGCAACTGGAAGGAATTATACATGCTGTGAGTCATTTGCATGGCATCCATTGTTCTTATATATTTTTACCTTATCCTGCATAACAATGCTTAGTCAAAATGGCTGGAAAACAAACCCGTAATACACCTCACTGTATACATGTAAAGAATACATGACAAATGAATAAACAAACCAATAGTTTAATATCCACAGTAAAGTCAAAGGATAAACACGTTTCACAGGCGACTGCTCACTTCAGCCAAAAAAGAAGAAGAGTGTCATGTGTACTGGCTGGCTGGTGATGACAGGCTGTTTTTCGGGCAAGCAGTTTCAACTTTGTTCTGGACCATGTTATTCTTAAGCGATGATGTTTATAGTCATGTTTTCGCAGGAATAGATGGGAATGCAATATATAATGCAGGACAAGTTTCAAATATAAAATGTATTAGATATTAATAATATCCTGTACTTTAATGAGCAGAGGTTCTGTTCAGTTATTAATTTACTGGTCCACTGGACTGACAGCTCATGAAAGTACTGGTCCAATAAAGATTTTGCTGGTCCTATCAATTAATCTAGCCATATCAGCATCATGGCGATGGGCGCTGTCATGATGCTTTATAATTGCTGATTTCTGCATGTTTATACATCCTTTGTGAAAACATTAAATTTTCCGGCAGTCTCATTAATTCTGCAGTACAAAATATTACCCCTGAGGTTTCAAATATATAAATGTTACATCTCTCCAGTAGGTTCTACCATGATGTCAAGGGCACTTTGAAAATGGTGCTCTCTTACAACGGGTAACTACACAGGGGACAAAGGTCCACTATTATCGAACATTCCAAAAAGGGGGCACAGGTAGAACTTTATAAATGTAACAAATATTACTTAACTTCAACATAACTTATCTACATTTCTAGTAAGATGTTGAATCAACCACTCCATGTACCAAATCTACAGTTCTAATAAGGTGTGGAACCAACCTCTTTATGTACCTAATCTACAGTTCTAATAAGGTGTGGAACCAACTGCTTTATGTACCTAATCCACAGTTCTAATAAGATGTGGAACCAACCTCTTTATGTACCTAATCCACAGTTCAAATAAGGTGTGGAACCAACTGCTTTATGTACCTAATCCACAGTTCTAATAAGATGTGGAACCAACTGCTTTATGTACCTAATCCACAGTTCTAATAAGATGTGGAACCAACTGCTTTATGTACCTAATCTACAGTTCTAATAAGATGTGGAACCAACTGCTTTGTGTACCTAATCTTCAGTTCTAATAAGATGTGGAACCAACTGCTTTATGTACCTAATCCACAGTTCTAATAAGATGTGGAACCAACCTCTTTATGTACCTAATCCACAGTTCTAATAAGGTGTGGAACCAACTGCTTTATGTACCTAATCCACAGTTCTAATAAGGTGTGGAACCAACCTCTTTATGTACCTAATCCACAGTTCTAATAAGGTGTGGAACCAACCTCTTTATGTACCTAATCCACAGTTCTAATAAGGTGTGGAACCAACTGCTTTATGTACCTAATCCACAGTTCTAATAAGATGTGGAACCAACCTCTTTATGTACCTAATCTACAGTTCTAATAAGGTGTGGAACCAACTGCTTTATGTACCTAATCCACAGTTCTAATAAGATGTGGAACCAACCTCTTTATGTACCTAATCTACAGTTCTAATAAGATGTAGAACCAACTGCTTTATGTACCTAATCCGCAGTTCTAATAAGGTGTGGAACCAACCTAGCTCTTTATGTACCTAATCTACAGTTCTAATAAGATGTGGAACCAACTGCTTTATGTACCTAATCCACAGTTCTAATAAGATGTGGAACCAACCTCTTTATGTACCTAATCTACAGTTCTAATAAGGTGTGGAACCAACTGCTTTATGTACCTAATCCACAGTTCTAATAAGATGTGGAACCAACCTCTTTATGTACCTAATCTACAGTTCTAATAAGATGTAGAACCAACCTTTTTATGTACCTAATCTACAGTTCTAATAAGGTGTGGAACCAACCTAGCTTTTTATGTACCTAATCTACAGTTCTAATAAGATGTGGAACCAACTGCTTTATGTACCTAATCCACAGTTCTAATAAGGTGTGGAACCAACTGCTTTATGTACCTTATCCACAGTTCTAATAAGATGTGGAACCAACTGCTTTATGTACCTAATCTACAGTTCTAATAAGATGTGGAACCAACTGCTTTATGTACCTAATCCACAGTTCTAATAAGATGTGGAACGAACTGCTTTATGTACCTAATCTACAGTTCTAATAAGGTGTGGAACCAACCTAGCTCTTTATGTACCTAATCTACAGTTCTAATAAGATGTGGAAGCAACTGCTTTATGTACCTAATCTACAGTTCTAATAAGATGTGGAACCAACTGCTTTATGTACCTAATCCACAGTTCTAATAAGATGTGGAACCAACTGCTTTATGTACCTAATCTACAGTTCTAATAAGATGTGGAACCAACTGCTTTGTGTACCTAATCTTCAGTTCTAATAAGATGTGGAACCAACTGCTTTATGTACCTAATCCACAGTCCTAATAAGATGTGGAACCAACTGCTTTATGTACCTTATCTACAGTTCTAATAAGATGTGGAACCATTTGCTTTGTGTACCTAATCTTCAGTTCTAATAAGATGTGGAACCAACTGCTTTATGTACCTAATCTACAGTTCTAATAAGATGTGGAACCAACCTCTCTATGTACCTAATCCACAGTTCTAATAAGATGTGGAACCAACCTCTTTATGTACCTAATCCACAGTTCTAATAAGATGTGGAACCAACCTCTTTATGTACCTAATCCACAGTTCTAATAAGATGTGGAACCAACCTCTTTATGTACCTAATCTACAGTTCTAATAAGGTGTGGAACCAACTGCTTTATGTACCTAATCTACAGTTGTAATAAGATGTGGAACCAACCTCTTTATGTACCTAATATATAGTTCTAATAAGATGTGGAACCAACTGCTTTATGTACCTAATCCACAGTTCTAATAAGATGTGGAACCAACCTCTTTATGTACCTAATCTACAGTTCTAATAAGATGTAGAACCAACTGCTTTATGTACCTAATCCACAGTTCTAAAAAGATGTGGAACCAACTGCTTTATGTACCTAATGTACAGTTCTAATAAGATGTGGAACCAACCTCTTTATGTACCTAATCTACAGTTCTAATAAGATGTGGAACCAACCTTTTTATGTTCCTAATCCACAGTTCTAATAAGATGTGGAACCAACCTCTTTATGTACCTAATCCACAGTTCTAATAAGATGTGGAACCAACTGCTTTATGTACCTAATCTACAGTTCTAATAAGGTGTGGAACCAACTGCTTTATGTACCTAATCTACAGTTCTAATAAGATGAAGAACCAACTGCTTTATGTACCTAATCCACAGTTCTAATAAGATGTGGAACCAACCTTTTTATGTTCCTAATCCACAGTTCTAATAAGATGTGGAACCAACCTCTTTATGTACCTAATCCACAGTTCTAATAAGATGTGGAACCAACTGCTTTATGTACCTAATCTACAGTTCTAATAAGGTGTGGAACCAACTGCTTTATGTACCTAATCTACAGTTCTAATAAGGTGTGGAACCAACTGCTTTATGTACCTAATCTACAGTTCTAATAAGGTGTGGAACCAACTGCTTTATGTACCTAATCCACAGTTCTAATAAGGTGTGGAACCAACTGCTTTATGTACCTAATCTACAGTTCTAATAAGGTGTGGAACCAACTGCTTTATGTACCTAATCTACAGTTCTAATAAGGTGTTGAACCAACTGCTTTATGTACCTAATCCACAGTTCTAATAAGGTGTGGAACCAACCTCTTTATGTACCTAATCTACAGTTCTAATAAGGTGTGTGGCAATACATTTCGTGCAGAAAACACGATAGAAATCTACAAAGGGAATGTAGTTACATTTTAGAGACAACAGAGAGCTTGGAATTTTGGCGCTTTTCTATATACGACTGTGACGTCATATCTTTTGCTTCACAATGAGCGATATGATATCATAATGGTGACCTGTGATGTAGAGTGAAAGTCTTACAAAGCTTTCTTTGTTTTCTTTAGGGATGCCCATCTCATGTTAGGTAACCAAGTTGCCGCGCTTTCAATGCCAGTCATATGTTTGAGTGAAGTATTACGGTGTAAACAAACTGCTTGAGTATATACAGCGCCATATTTTGTTCGGAGATTCCGTAAATCAGATCGATAACCCACTCAAAACACTGGACTCAACCCATGCCGCTTCACTCAGTATATTTGCTAACACCAAAGAGTTCGCGTTTTATTTAGTCATGATAGAATGGAGATAAACATACTGGGTTTTCAATGTAGAGCTAGGTTACCTGTCGATTTAACCGCGCTAAATTTAACATTTGAAACCTCACGCTGCGCATTCGATTCCAAATTCAATTTAGCGCGTTTAAATCGACATGCAACCTAGCTCTACATTGAAAACACAGTATGTTATCTCCAAAGTGTCAAACCATACCTACATTGTTTTCTCTGATGCATGATGCAAGTACATGTGATCTCGTCTTCTTAACATTCACTTACTTCATAAGTGCAGGCGCTAGTCCTGCACCATGACTGTGGAATATATTTATTCTATGAAAAAAAAATAATAATCTAGAAACTCATACAAAAGCAACTCTAGCCAGCTCTAGCTAGCTCTATTCCACATAGGGAATATCTGTTGCGCTTCTGTCCTAATGACCATGAGTATTAGTATTACATGTGTTCTTAAATGTAAAGACGTCGTAAATGCCACTGGTTAACGCTGCTGATGAAGGAGTAAATATTACTCTGAAATATTGTGTTCCTCATAATAAAGTTGCCATCCACAAATTCTCTTCCTTACATGTATGTATGATCCATGTATCTGGTTTCTACTTCGTTTTAAGGAAAGTTATTCCGTTTTCAGTCTAAGACCCCAATAACAGAATCATAAGCTTCCTAAGCACATCAAGC